ACCCTGAGCTGGGCCAGGTCATCAGGGGGCAGGTCCGCCAGCAGCGCCGCTGTGGGCCCCCCCATCCGGGGGTCGAGCAGAGCCGCGTAGCCGCCCGGCGCCCTGGCCTGCGCCGCCTGCGCCGCCGCCAGCTTTTCATCGACCCACCTCGAGAGGCAGGCGTGAAACTCCTCAAAGCTGATCTCGCGGTCAGAGTCAACGTCCATCTCCTGCGAGAGGAGGAGGGGGGGGCGGGGGCGGACGCACCGTCTAGGGACGATGGCCGCTCCTGGTTACTGCGTTAACGCCACGTTGGGTGACAAGCCACAGTCGACGCGGTCTCCGCGACTGCCTGCTGAGCAGTGAGGATGCAGCAGCACCCAGTGCTGGGTGACGTTGTGCGCCCTCCCCCCTCTGACAAGTCCACCTGGAACCAGAGGTCCACGGTGGCACGGTCCACGGCCAGGGCGTCGTCGCTGCCGCCCAGCCGCAGCCCCAGCAGGAGGGCCTGCACCTCGCCGGCGTCGATGGTGCCGCTGCTGTCTGTGTCAAACTCGTCAAACAGCACACGCAGTGTGGACCTGGGCGCAAGCGCCAGGGCGTTTGCACGTTGGTGTGAGCACCGGTATGTCGGGTTGCGTGAGCATGACACTGTGTCATGTTGTGATTGTGTAATCCTGGTGCGCGCGCGGCCATGTCTGCATGCATGCAATCGAGGCACAAAGCAAATCTTGTTGACTGCCAGTAGCACACTACAGTCCTCGCCCTCAACCTACCTGTTGACACGGCCAGAGGGGTCCACCAGGGAGCCAAAGCGCGGGGCAGCCACAGTGCGCTCAGCTAAGGCCTGCGAGTGATGTACACGTGTGTATGCCAGTAGTGCTACATGTATGAGCCTTGGGGGAATGGCCAAGGGTCCAGCCCAACACCGACGACATGCAAACCCAGATGGGGATCAGGCGCAGCAGCATGACTCTTGTCTGTGCTGCAACGGCAGAGACAGGCAGGGGATGAGGCAGGGGAGTGTGGCGGAGTGCAAAGTGTCTGTGGCTACTGTTGTCCTCGTGCACGCACCTTGACCATGTACAGCCTGGGGCCGGAGACCAAGGGGGCGGAGCGTGGAAGGGAGGGGGGGCAGGACCTTCAGGAGGACGCGGGGCTCTGGACTTGATGGGCTGGGGGCGGGTCCAAGGTCCTGCAACATGCCCGTTCTAGCTGTTCGCATTGCAGATAGCCCATTGCAACATTGAGTAAATCGCGGCGGCACACCTGAGCCGCTTCTTGCGCGCCGCCTCTATCTTGCGGCGCTGCAGCTCCGGGCTGAGGACGCTGTAGGCGCAGTAGGCCACAGCCGCAGCCAGGCACACCACCGCTCCCGTCAGGGCAGCCTGGCGTGGCGGATGGGCAGGGTTCGCTGCGCTGACGGCGGGAAACGGCCAGTGTACACCCGTTGACAACGCCGCGGCGACCATTGACCCTCCCATCACCATTACCACCAGCGCTTCAAAGGGTCTTGGGGTTTCACAGGGCCTTCAAGCCCGGGGTCCTTCGACAGGTTGCAGACGCAGTGGAAATCAAAGCTCTGCCTGGAGGCCCTCCAGGCAGGCTCAGCAGCGGCCGCGCCCTGCGTCCCTGCCGTTCAAACCCGGTGCCCGCACCTGTGGGCTCTCAGGGAAGCCCATGAAGGCGGGCACCTGCACAATGCCGTAGAGCAGCACAGAACCCGCCATCACCAGCGCACCCTTGCGCACATCTGGTATCGCGGAGCGGTTTGTGAGGCGGCGGATGGAGGATCGGGGTTGGGGTTGAGCTGGGATGGTGCTGAGTGTGCATGGTGCCAGCACTGTATCGCCGTGCTGCTTACAACAAGGCTGTGGGTGGATGCGATGTTGGCACGTGAGGAGTCGGCTCCAAAAGAGAGCACCCCAGCCCCGCCCCCTTGGCACTCACCGTCATCAGTCGAGACGCCGGTGCGGTTCAGGTCAAAGCCTACAGCAGCGAGGGGATGTGGTGATTGGATGAACAAGATGTGGCAAAAACAAAGCCGTGCACACCTCTGGCGTCTAGAGGACATGCTGTCGTGCTGCTGCCC